CCCTACATGGAGGGGGATGTGAGCAGCAAGGATAAGATGGGCAAAGGAGTGGATGGTACATATAAAAAAGGTAACTTTATCTATCCTTTTTGTTTCTCAGGCCAACACAGACCTCTGTTGCCCGCGTATCTGCTCTCTGTTAGAATTGTATGTTTTAGAATTCATATATGCTTCATTAGCAGCTATGTTCTGCCTTCCGGGGCAGTATATGGCTGTGGCTACAGGATTTTACAGAGAAGCTGACCCATGTAGTTCATTAGTTTTGAACCTAACCTTTACTTAACTAGAATTTCCTTAAAGGAAGTTCCTTATCTTACCAATTCTGTTTTGTCAGCGTCTCATCAGGTAGGTACCAGAACTTTGGAACTGTTTTGTAGAGTAAACACTACAGTTTGCAAGGCAAGGGCTAGAATATCTAGCAGAGCCACATTTGTTCCAAGGAGGTGTTTGTTTGTTTGTTTAGTTTGTTGAGAAGAAATAAAATTCACCCCAAATTATAGAGCAACATAAGATGGTAAAGGCGCATAAATGTTCTAATCAAAGAGGTTTTTGTAAGCTGGCCTAACAGTGAAGGAGAGGGGGTATTTGAGGCCAGGAGTGGTTGACAGCGTTCTCTCTGCCTATATAACGAGTAAGGGTTGCTTTGAGAATTCAATGAGATAATACAAAAAATCATCCTGAAGGGCATATAGCTGGTATCCCATCAATGATAATTAGCTTCTTCCTTTAGCTGTCTTTTGAAAGGCAATACAGGTATCTCTTGTTATTTGAATATATTTGGACATTGAAGTATAAGATTTTGTTTGCATGGTGAGGTGAAGAGGGGATTTTAAGCAAGTGAAACTTCCTGGTGAGATGCCATAAAATTCTAAGCAGGTGAAACTTCCTGGATGGGGAATGAGAATGATGTCCACAAGGAATAAGTTCAACAGAGGTTTTGTTGCCCTCATGTTATTTCAGGGGTCCTCACTTACCTGTTGACAGTATGCTTTCTGTGCAGATATGCACTATCAGTACTAATACTACAGGAGTTTGGGTCTTGAGTCTTATAGTCTCAGATGGTCAGGGACCAAATGACCAACATCTTTGCACAGAGCTGGCCACTGTCAAGGCTGGGGACGAAAGTGGAGTGTAGGCAATATCGCAAGTCTGAGCCTGCTGAAGCTCTGTGATTCTGCTCTTTCTGTACCTTGACCTTAGGCTGGCTGGATGCCTCTGCCTTCAAGGAGCACACAGTTTTGTGGGGGAATTGGACACAGATACAGGTAGTCAAAATGCCATTCTTTGAGAGTGCTGTGGCAGAAGTGTGCATGGTATGCTGTGGGAGCAGACCAAGAGGAAGCAAAACAGTGCTGGGGATCAAAGTTTGGAAGTCATGGATGGCTTCTCTCTTAAGTGATACTTTGAAGAAGAACTATAATAACGGTTACCATTTGTTGATTGCCAGGCCCCGTTCAAAGTTTGTTTTCTGCTTTAAGTCTTTGCAGCAACCCTATAAGTTAGATGCCATTATCTTTATCTTATAGATGAGGAAATTGAGGCACATAAAAATTAAATTTGGGGAATTCCCTGGTGGTCCAGTGGTTAGGACTCCATGCTTTCACTGCCAGGGGCCCGGGTTCAGTCCCTAGTCAGGAAACTAAGATCCCAAAAGCTGCGTGGCGTGGCCAAAAAAAAAAAGGTTAAATTTGTTGCACAAGGTTCCAGTGCCAGTAAGTGATAGAGGAAGGTTTCAAACTCTAGTATAGTTGGGCTCCAGAATCCAAACTCTTAACCCCTACACTGACTGTGAGGAAGTTAACAACTTAAATGTTGTAACAAAAAGACAGCCTATGTGAAAGCACACATTGAGTCGAACGTGATGAGTTAGTGACCTCCAAGTGTTTGCTGTGGTTTAAGCACAGGGTTGGGGGAACACTGGACTGTTTTATTGAAAAGGTTGCTAAGTTACATGGTCAGAGCAGATTTTAGAAATCTCAGTCTGACTAGAATGTCAGGACCATAGAAGGTGAGAGGTTGTAGCCAGGAATGTCAGCGAGATGGCTGTTTTAGTAGTTTCAGGCAGAGATAATGAGACTGTCACAGAGAATAGCGCATGGAGTCGAGAGGATGATGGGTACTAGATAGACATTAAGTAGATAAACTAGGTAGGACGTGCTGAATAATAGGATGAATGAAGGAGGGAACAACTCCAGGCAACATCAAGTCTGCTAGATGGTGACAAGGAAATGGAGAAAGGGGTGTGGATTAGAGGGGAGATTTTCTTTAAAGAACTGGCAGAGCTTGGGGAAAACTACAGAGAGGAAAGTGGGAAAATTTGGAATTCTTTAAAGAGTTTTTAACCTGAGTCAAGAATAATAAATTAAAATTTTGTTTTAAGTGGAGAAGAATGAGATTAAGATTTTTTTCAGACTTTTCAGACACTACAATCATTTAAACATATGAAAGTTCAGGACTTGAATGCAGATTAGCTGCAAAGATCTATCTTTGTATTAGGCTAATAACTGATATTTACAGAATGAGCTTTAGGAGAAGAGTAGGATAGGTGCTCCAGACAATAGGGAAGAAGGAAAGGAAAACTTCAAATTTTAATTTCTTCCAAAGGAACACAGCATGTTACCTGGACACCTAGGAGGCACATTATTTGTGGAAGCATAAAACTCAGAACTGAGGAAAAAGGCTTAAAGGCAGTGACTTTGCTGAGCAGGTGCAGTCTAGTTGTTGTTAGGAGATGTTATATGTGGGCTTTTTCAAATTATTTAGCTTTGTTTTTTGTTTTAAGTTTTCCTCTGATACTGGTAGTCTGTATAGTGCCGTTTAATGATGGATTATGTTTTATTTTAATGCCATATATGAACACTCTGGGGACTATAACTTACTAGAAAATAGAAATCATATATATGTCGTAGATTTTTGTCTAAAACGTGAATTTTCTCCAACTTAAAAGGGGGAAAAAGCGAAATAAGTAACACTACCCAGAGATTAAGTGACTGTGCTGTATGTTTTCTTAGCTCTTCAGGAAGCTGCAGCAAGGTTTGAGGAGTTAAAGGCCCAAAAAGAGCTAAGACAGCTGCAGGAAGATCGAAAGAATGACAAGAAGCCACCGCCTTATAAACATATAAAGGTGAGAAAAGACCTCAGGAGAGACCCTGTAATAGCTTGCCTGCTTCCCACTCTGTTCATGAGGAGAACTGGAAGCGCAAGCACAGTTGCTTTTAGGTAGGGGTATGAGCTTGAAAGAAGATAAAAAAAAAGTGCCAGAGCACCATTTCTAGCACATTGTGTGCACTTTATAAAATTAGTTGTGTGTTGATACAGTGTTGTTCCTGTTGCTTTCGAAAGTCTTTTCATAAAGTGGATTGGAATAGATTCTGTTCACAGTCAACACCTGGTGGTTTGAAAGGGAAAAAAGAGCCTTGGTAAAAAATGATAAATGGCCCTGAGATAGTGTGAATAATACACATGGTAAGTCTTCTCGTAATGGCTGATAGTAAAGATATTTTAGGTGGCCAGTATGACTAGGATTCCCAAGGTCACAAGCATACATGTTAAGTGTACCTGATGCTAGTGTACCTGGTAAAACAGTCATCATCGTTTCTCATTTGGGTCCAGTAGACCCTTTATATTTTTATATTGTTAAGTCATTTTTGTTTCTCTTTTATTTATTTTTTTTTATTATTAAGTCATTTTTATAAATACAGAAATAAAAATAAAGGAATAGTGAGGAAAAAACTTATTAGGAATTTTAGTAAGTATTTACTGAAACCTCTTTTTTAAAAACCTTTTAATCAAGTTAGTTTTGGTGCTCAGATATCAGACCACATGAAAGAATACTATAAGCTCTATTAACAAAATGAGATCGCCCAAGTTCTTGTTGCAAGATATTTGTGATGATGTCATTCCATATATAGACTATATATATATATAATTTTTTGTCATTAGAGAAGCATTATTTGTGTACTCATTGATTTTTTTTTTCTTTTTTTCTTTTTTTGAGTTTCTGAAGTCTGAGATTTTCACTTAGAGATCAATTTTTAGAGTCTGGTGTGTTTAAGTATGTCCCAAGTATTCCATGGGACATACTTAAACTAAAAAACAATTTGTTTTTTATCTGAAATTCAAATTCAGTTGGGTATCCTGGATTTTTACTTGCTAAATCTAGCAACCCTACTAAAAGTAGACTGAAAGATGTTATCTCCAGTCTTTTATACTTTCTGGAAAGATGATGTAGTACTTTGGGTAATGCAGTGCAGAAACTAAACTGTGACTGTTTCACCGTTGCATTATGTTTTTATGATTCTGTCATTCCACTTAATATTTTTGTCTTTTTTAGCATAGTTGGCAATCATTGATGAGTAACAGAGTGATGATGAATTAGTAAATACTTATGAGATATAGGAAAAGTAAGAACACTAAAACTCCATAATAAAGATTAGATTTATAAAAGTCTAATGGACCTGCCTAGTAGTTGCAATATAGAATGAGTTTTTTTAATAAGTAAAGTTTCTTCTTGATTTTTGAAAGACCTCTGAGAAAGTGTCATAAAATATCAATCCTTACAAATAGTTAAAACTGTTGGGGAAAAAAAAAACAAAACAAAACCTAAGATTGGGTCTAAATGGACCCTGATGGTAGAACTGAGAGTTAAATGGAGTTAACTGTGCATGGAGACATAACACTGAGGTGTAGTTCATCCTCAGAAAAAGGGAAAGTAATTTGTTTCCACAGTCGTAGATGTCACACATAGCAGAAGTTAGGCCCTTCAGAGTAGCCCGTCAACCATATTGAACCTGTATATTGAGAAACCAACTAACGTCCCATACATGATCTAATCACAGAATTTAGACACCAACTTCTTTCCTCCACCTTTAAAACAAAAACATTTCCAGGAAAAAGATTTAGAATAGGGGTTGGCAAACTATGGTCCATGGGCCAAATCTGGCCTACTATGTATGGTTGGGAAAATTTGTTTTTTACAGACTATTTCCTGACACATGAAGATTTTATAAAATTCAAATATTAGTGTCCATAATTAAAGTTTTATTGACACACAGCTGTGCTTGTTCATTTACATATTGTCTATTGCTGCTTTCGAGCTATAGTGGCAGAGTTGAGCAACATGCACCAGAGATCTGTGCTTGCAAAAGATAAAATATTTACTGTCTGGCCCTTTACAGAAAAAGTTTGTCAATCCCTGATCTAGAGCAAGTGTAAATACTACAATTACATATCTGTGTTGTTCTTAACCACGTGTGGGGTTTTGTTTTTGCTTTATGTTATGTTAGGCAAGAAACTTATTTGGGATTAATAACAGGTTAGATCATATGTCAAGGAGGAATGATTGAAACATACCTTTATAGAGAGAAAAGGAGTAGGATGAAACTTTTTTTGGATGGGGGTGTGTCAGTCAGGTAAAGGTATTCACCTTGAATCAGAGGTGAATATTCAGATGCCTTATGTAGGTCCTGTAGTCTCAGGTGATTGAGCTCAGCCCTTGTTTATGCCTTAGAATTTGCCTTACTCAGTAGGTTTGTGACTTCCAGTTGCATATGGTGAGGGTGTTCCTCCATTAACAAGTTAATACTGTTTATCAGTATTTTAAAGAAGCTGGGAAGAGATCTGGCAGTGAGACTTAACGTCATTTTAAGTTGTTCTGGAGAACGTTTGAGGGCAGTATACTTCTACAAACAGATTTTTCCCCACAACAGTCTTGCAAGTAAAAAAAGTGACTTGTCAAAATCATGCAGTTCCTGAGGAGTCAAATTTTATGTATAGGTTGGGTTTTTGAAGACTTGTGGTTTGACTGTTCCCACTGAAATAATACCAAGCAGGGGAGACTCATTTTTATTTTATTTTATTGAAGTATAGTTGATTTACAATGTTGTGTTAATTTCTGCCATACAGCAAAATGAGTCAGTTATACATATATATGTATATATATATATTCTTTTAAATTATGGTTTTATCACAGGATATTGAATACAGTTCCCTGTGCTATACAGTAGGGCCTTGTTATTATCCACTCTATATATAATAGTTTGCATCTGCTAACCCCAAACCTCCCACTCCCCAGCCCCCACTCTGCACACTCCCTCCCTCCCCCCAACCTCCCCCCCCTTCTCTCT